GGGGCGCGAATCGGTCGGCGGGAAGCGGGGCTGACCGTGGCACATGCAGACCCGGGCACACGAGAGAGTCCGGCCCCAGGGATTCCATTTTGCCCCCTCCCCATACCCTCCATCGAGTAGTTGTGAACTGCCTGGCTGGTAGACACACTCATGCAGCGTTAGCACATCTACCAGCCAGGCAGTTCGCAGCTAAGGACTGATACACCTAATAATAATAAAACATACCTAATTAGAAAATACCAGACATTTTATATGTCCGGTATTTTCTCAATTTGTTTCCCGGACAGAACCCTCAAATACCGGACTATCAGGTACAAAACCAGACACCTGGCAACCCTACCCCTCCTTGTACCCTTCCTCCTAGCCAGATAGCCTATCCCCAATCTGTTCCTACTCCCGCCTCCTGGAGTGCCTATGCGGTACTGGGTCCCCCCAAGCCCTGGCCCAGGCTGGGCAGAGGATGCAGCCGGGTGAAACACTGAAAATTTATTCATTTTTCATATGCGTTTATATTTTTGGGCTGCAAAAAACAGTACTAAGAAAAACCAGGTTTCAAATAAAGTAAAAAGTTTGGGAAACCCTGGTCTAACCAGCTTTCTATCCAACTTACAGACCATTTATCCAATCCATATTCCCTTAACTTGCTGGCAAGAATATTGTGGGTGACCGTATCAAAAGCTTTGTTAAAGCTGGCACTGGGGGCTTTGGGAAGACCATAAACAACGTATTTGAATATTCATAATTTGCTTAATGAATATGCAAATATGCAAATGAATGTTACCAGTCTTCCAAAAGCTCGTGAATAGATTTACTGGTCCCCATGTCAAAAAGTTTGGGAACCCCTGCCCTAGATGAAGGAAGTACTTTGGCTGGGAAAGTAAGGCATGAGGAGGGTGTTTTCTATGAGATCATAGGTTTACCAAAACAACTGGAAAGTTGCCCTATTTTGTAGCTGAGAATAGCCATTTCACTTTATAACTAAATTATTTAAATCTGGCATAGTATCATTTTCTCATTGTACATTTTGTCCCCAATCCTGCAAAGATATGGGCCAAACCCTCAGTCCACATGGAAACTCAGAGAAGTTAACGAAGGTCCATGTGGATGCAGGCATCCATCTCAGCTGAGCAAGTTAAAGGATCTGACCTGAGGGTCAGATCTTCCATCAGTGGGAGTTTTAAAACTGACTTCAATAAGAGCAGGACACAGGTGTCAGCCCTGGACAAGCTTAGCAAAGGAGGAAAACCCCCACCCTTTACTTGTGTGTGCTTGGTATAAGCTTTTGAAAATCTTATAATCAGTCAGATCAAAACCATTTTCCCTGGAGCAGAACTACATGTTACATTGCAACTATTAAACTATAGCTAGATGTTTCAGCTGGAGGGCTGTTCAATATATAGCTAAATAAATAAAGTCACATTATTTTTTTAATGGAAAGTGGGCTTCAAATCCCCATCCCCAATAAGGAATGCTAGTAACCATTAGGAAAGGGGCAGATAGTAAAACAGAAAACATCAAAATGCCTCTATATTAATTCCTGGTACACCTACATTTTGAAAATTATGTATGGTTCTGGTTGCCCTCACTCAAAAAGATACACTAGATTATCAAGAATGGTGAGGAGAAAGTCACTAAGGAAGTATTTGCCCCTTCACATAAGACAAGAGCCAGGGGTCACCCAATGAAATTAATAGACAGCAAGTTTAAAACAAAGACAAGGAAGTACTACCTTACACAACACACAGCCAATCTGAGGAACTCGTTGCCAGATGATATTGTGAAGGCCAAAAGTACAGCTGGCTTGAAAAAAAAGAATTAGATAAATTTATGCAGGATCGGTCCACCAGTGGTTAGCCAAGGTGCTCTGGTGTTCAAAGTGTCCCTAAATATCTGGCTACCAGAAGCTGGCACCAGACAACAAGGAATGAATCACTCATTAAATTGCCCTGTTCTGTTCATTGCCTCTGAAATATCTGGTACTGGTCACTGCTGGAAGTCAGGACCCTAGACTGGATGGATCATTGGTCTGAACCAGTATGGCCATTCTAATCTTATAAATCTAAAAAAGAGAGGCGAAGTCACCTTTGGGCAGATATCAAGCAGAGTAAATCTCAGTCATAAAGGTGAATGTTTTGCATAGTTATAACCGGGGCCATCCATAGGGGAATGCAGGCCCCAGGACAAATCAGCCCTCACTAGCTTGGGAGTCTCACTCTGCAGTAGATCCCTGGGCACACAGGGCCAGTAGCCAGGAACTCGGGCACTTGGTGCTGGCAGTTCGAAGCATGGGGTTGCTGCAGTCTGTAGCAATACCCGCATCACTAGTTCCCATGTCCATATCTTCTAAGACTAACAGTGGCCCCCCTCCAAAGTGTAGGGACTGGAGCAGTCACCCCAATTCTCTGTAATTAAGAGATGGCTTTGGTTATGACAATCTGAAAAACAGCTATATAAAATAAACCCTTTTGCAAGCTAAACTATAGTAGCTGCTGCCTCAGAAAAATCATACCTGGATATAATTCAATTCAATCTAACAAGTAACTTCATAGTCTTACGTAAAGTCAACTTTTTCTGTATGAATAAATTGTGAAGGATATTATTCCTGGAACAGAATATATTCTTGGAATTACTGAGAAACGTATGCATTGTTCCACTGTTCCAAGTACACATAACTCATTTTATCATGACAAAATAAAGTTATTAATCTGCTGACTTTCATTTAACAATGTGAAATGTTGTAAAATGCACAGACATCTGCATTACAGTACATTTCAGTTCCACTTTATATCAGCCATAAACATCTCTGTTTTGGACACCTCTTCAAAACAAATGTACACAGCATACTGTATATGACATTCGATTTTATGAAACTATAAAAGTTTTTCACTGTTAATTACACAGACAAATGTCTCATCACACATTTGGCTACCAGGATAATAATTAGTTTTCCACATTAACCTTTCAAACATAGAGCATGAATTTCAAGTCAAAAGAACTGTAAAAAGACTCAGATAGGAGATACCTCACAATATACTTCAACATTTTTTTGAAGATAATAAAATACAAAGACTGAAGAAAACAAATTATGTATGCAATCAACTTTTTAAAAGCCATCGTGTCTATATGCAACAGTATTGTCTGCAATATATAGTGTACAATCCTCTCAAGGACTTGCATGCTCATCTCTGAGCTAACATCTTTGCGTTAAAACAGACATGCTGTCAGTATCTGCCAGACAGTAATGGGGCTTTACCGACTCAAACATCTGACCCAGAGCCTGAACCTGACAACCTTTACTCATGTGAATTTAATGGGACTATTCAGGATCAGAGATACTGTATTTGCTTTCAAATCCAACTCTCATGGATATCAACTGAAAGACTCATATTGACTTCACTGGCAGCTGCCCAGGTCTTTAATGAGGTGATGTGTTGAGTATCTTCAATGGGATAAAGCAGTTGAATTTTTCTGCAAAGGCTCAAAACCTCTCAAGATCAGACTACAGATAAGTCAGGAGTGGAATGTAAAAGGAAGAATACACAGCCACCAAAATGATGAGTAGCTCAGTGATAACCAATTCTATCAAGCTAAGAGTTAAGGCAGCCTATACATTACTTATCTGTTTTCTTTACACATTTTTGACTGTTGATTTAATTCAATTTTGCGATGGCAGGATTAGCAGCCAGGCTACAGAGGTGAAAGGACATTACATTAAGACATTACATTAATTCTCTGTCCCACCTATGGCAGAAGCAATACCAAACAAATAGCAGCTTCCTGGAAATTGAATTTCTGTTATTCAGATGTCAAAGATGTAATACCCCCATTACACAAACTATTGCCAGTGAAGCATGCCAGGGAATATGCAATGTAAATGGGGTGAACAGAGAGCTGCAAAACTGCCCAGTCAGCATCTGGCTCTGAGAGTGAGTGATAATTAGCACTCTGTAGATTCTAATAAACATTTATGTCTGAAACTACAACTTTTAGCAATGTTAATAAAGGATATATTGGCAATTTGTAAAATAAAAAGTCCTGTAAAACCATGTCACATTAAATAATGGTATATACCTCCTATATTTGCACTGCACCTTAATTGCAAATGGCTATGGTGTTGCTCAGAAATTAATCGACACAATGCCATACCTAAAAAAACCGGTTGTGTTTCTTTGGTTTCCCCATTAACATCATTGCTGTAGTCAGAAATCATGTATACCTCGTGATGATAATCTGTAACAAACAAAAAAAATTTAAAAATAGAGCTCAAGTGACCTGTAAAAAAGACCACTGAATACATTGCTAAAGCTTTACTACAGGGCTATGTCTAGACTGGCATGATTTTCCGCAAATGCTTTTAACGGAAAAGTTTTCCGTTAAAAGCATTTGCAGAAAAGAGCGTCTAGATTGGCACGGACGCTTTTCCGCAAAAGCACTTTTTGCGGAAAAGCGTCCGTGCCAATCTAGACACGCCTTTGCGCAAAAAAGCCCCGATCGCCATTTTCGCGATGGGGGCTTTTTTGCCCAAAACAAATCTGAGCTGTCTACACTGGCCCTTTTGCGCAAAAGCTTTGCGCAAAAGGACTTTTGCCCCAACGGGAGCAGCATAGCATTTCCGCAAGAAGCACTGATTTCAGACAGTAGGAAGTCAGTGTTCTTGAGGAAATTCAAGCGGCCAGTGTAGACAGCTGACAAGTTTTTCCTCAAAAGCAACTGCTTTTGCGGAAAATTTTGCCAGTCTAAACACAGCCCAGGAGTGGGGAATCTCTGGCCCCAGGATTGGATGAGGCCCCCAGCTTGCCTGGATCAGGCCCGAGGCTCAGCACTGGGGAGCTTGCGCTGACGCTCCAACTCCCCTGCCACCCACCTGCAGGGCTGGAGCACACAAAATATACTAGCGTGGGCCTCCCCAGTGTGCAAGGGGAATGTAGGGAGTGTCTTACTCCTTCTCAGTCAGGGGCTTCTCATTTTGGTTCTCACTTGTGTGCGGCCCCCGATTAATTTTTCTGTGGATCAGTAGCCCCTGACCCAAAAAAGGTTCCCAATCCAAAAAAGTTTTCCCACCCTTGCTTTACTACATCATTTATCAATACATCTGCAGTTTACTCCATGTACATTAACCACAAAAAATGTGCCCTGCATCAGCACTTCCTAAAAACCTTTGTTCACACCAAAGACAACTGAAAAGTTTCTGATTTTAGAGATAAGATATGCCTGCTGTAAATTACCGTGTTCATTTTCACAGTAAATTATTCCACAGATGACTATTATCTTGCTTTACAGATGGAAAGCAAATGTATAATGTAAGTTTACCTCCCTATAGGCTAAGGGAAACTTTCACACCTTATCTCAAAACAAAATTAGTGATATACATTATGGGATACATTTTTAACTTTGTGGCCTGATCCTGAGTCGCTGACATCGTTTGGCCATTGAATTCCTATCTGACTAGATTTGAGAGCTATGTACGGGTACTGACTCATGACAACTGATCTTCACAACCATCATAAAAACACTCATTTTTTATTGCAAATGAAATACAATTTGGATAAGTAGTCTGAGCTCGGACTACAAGTGTGCATGTAGTAAAAACAAACTACTTTATTTACATGCACACAAAAAGAGAGTAACTTTTACAACAAGGAATACTGGTAGATAACACACCAGGATTCTAACTCTCGCTCTACTACTGACAATGTGACAGTGACCGTGACCATAACTGTGTGACCTTGAGAAAAATCACTTTGAACTAAAGAATAAGGTAGTAAGAAGCTTTTGGGAGATGTTGCAACTCTCAATTCCTACTGACTTTAATAGGACTTGAGCCCACTAAGCACTTCACCAGGACAGGATTCTTTAATTCCATGTGTCTCTGTTTCTCCTTCTTTAAAAGTGGTTTTTAAAACATTCACATGCTTCATAAAGGCGTTGTGAGGCTTCCTTAATTAAATTTATGGAAAAGTGCTTTGAGATACTCGGAAAAAAGGCACAACAAAAATGAGTATTATGTTCATTCCTTTTTTGAGAAAGGCACCTGCGCCTCCGACAAAATAATCAGGTCCAGATGTAAAAGACCCATAATTTACAAACATTATTGTTACTTATTATTTGTAAGACAATACTATTGTGACTATCTAAAAAAAGACACGCTCTCCATCAGGAAACCAAAGTCACACATAATACAGTAGCAACATGACAGGCAGAAGGGGCTGTAAAGAAAGGATGAGGACTGTGAACATAAGGAAGGAATGATGAGGAAGTAAGTGATGACAGACAAGTCAGAAGAAAGGAGGATTGGTTTTGGTTTATTGTACTGGGGCAGGTAGATGAAGGAGAATTAAGTTGCATGACACATGGGACCAAAAATAAAATTCCAGGAAGTGAAGTGGGAAAAGCTAAGTCTCTTTTATGAGAATTCTTTAAAAAAGCATTTACCTTTTTTTTCTATATTTTTATTCCTCCTGGTGAAGATTGTCAAAATTTGGGCAAAAGTGTGTAATAATGCTTAAGAACTACAGTGAGGCACAGATTCAGAATGCTTAGATCAGGGGTGGGGAACCTCAGGCCCGGGGGGCCCCCAGCTTGACTGGGTCCAGCCCCTGAGGCTCAGCGTTCCCCTTCCCCCCAGTATTGGGGAGTCAGCAGTGATGCTCCAGCCCCCCTGCTACCACACTGCAGCGATGGAGCACACAAAATCTACCAGGCTGGCCCCCCGTAAGTTCTGGTGCATGAGGAAAATGTGGGGAGTATCCCTGACTGAGAAGGAAAAAGACAATGTCAATGAAGGGTTCCTCTCCCCCAACTTGTGTGCAGCCCCCAACTGATTTTTCTGCGGGTCAGTGACCCCCAACCCAAAATTGGTTCCCCACTCCTGGCTTAGACACCCAGATTGCATGATATCTTTAAAAATTCCCCTATGTCTCCAGTTAGATATGGTACTCTTCACTGGTCCTTGACTGCTGTATCAGTTTCTGCATTTCAGTGGAAGAATACACAATTTTATATATACAGTAGTCTGAATTACTTCATTATGATGACAAACTGCTTTGAGATTCAGTGGGATGAAAGAAGATGTAGGATGTACAGTATACAGTAAAAATGACAATAATTTACATAATATAAGTCAATACAGTGGGTGTCTCCTTTGGCCCCCTTCTTTTGTCTGCAATGTCCTAGTCCAAGGCTTTGAAATCACTATCAATATCTTCACAGTAAACATTAAACTCTGACAGTGAATGACTCAAGCAGGAAGCAAAAGCTGAGTAGCAGGGAAACACCTATTTATACTCAATGATCTTTGTAATCAATTTGCATAGGAAATGAGGAGGGACATACATAAAAGCTGAATCTTACTTTGCTAATATACATTTTTTATCTTCTCTGTTCTCCCTGAATCAAAACACCACTTTTTCCAAAATTGCATTTAGTGTTGTTAGTGTTCTATAATTTAGAAGGGTTCTCAGACAAAAAACAGCTAACCCACAAGTGAAACACAAGCTAAATCACCAGTGAAAAATAGTTAAAAGTATTATTACAAAATTATTAATCTATGTTACAAATGACATGTCAAGACTAAATGCTTGTAAAATATTAATTTACTTTTGACTATTTGAGTTATTCTGCACATCTAACAGTTTTCTCAACTTGGAAATACAAACTAATCAGTTTCACTTTCAGATCCTCATACTCTAGCACAGTGGTTCCCAGCCTTTTCGAGCATACGGACCCCTTTTCAATCTGCTAAAATGTTATGGACCCCCAAGGGGAGTGGCATGAAGGGGCAACCAGCACATCCCTTGATCTGTGCTGCTTCATTCCCTGCCCATCCACAGAGGATACTGCAAGGGGGCTCTCAAGGCCAAAGGCAGCTCCTGCCCTGGCATTCTGCCCTTGGCCAGGCACAGAGCCCCGGGAGAGAAAAGGAAAAGAAAAGTAAGGTTTGGGGTCCATTGTGGGAACGAAGAGGGGGGGAGGGGAGAGTGTGTGCACGCCCCAGGTGAGGATCACTTGGCGTAAAGCTCCAGTCATGTGGTGGCCCAATCCTTACTTTTCCTTTCCTAAGTTTTCTGTGGACCCCCTAGAGTACTATCGCAGACCCCCAGGAGTCCATGGACCACACATTGAGAACCACTGTTCTAGTGCTTATACTATAAGCAGTGCAGAAGAATACTTGTTTCTCAAAAAGTTTCCTTTTGAACTTTAAATCCCAGATTAATTTCTTCTGGCCTTATGTTTGCAAATACTTGCTTTTATAAAATCTACACTAATTTTTGGCCAATTTTGACCTGACAGTACAGTATTCCTCTAGATTAAGAAAGTATGTTATGTCCAATGCTCATAATGAATATTTTTCATTAGCTTCCCGAAAGTTATTTTCATGTTTAAATTCCTTTGCTTCCCATTTGTTTTCATCCAACAGTGACTGAAGAGGGATGCCTAAAAGTGCCCAAGTGTGACACATTAAAGAAAAAGTGTGTAACATTATGCCAGAGAAGTCACTTGCCTTGAACTTAGCATGCTGGACACACACAGCTTTTCATGGAGATATTTCAGTTCAATACTTTAAAACACGGAAGTCAAATCAATGAGAGGAAAAGATCTAATCAGTGGGAGTAGCAGTCCACATCCCCACCAAAATAAAACACTAAGGCTGTAAAGCTCACCTGTGAAAATGACCATCAACGATTTTTAGATCTAAACAGAAAGGTCTGTTTCCCCCCGACATAAATACAAGTCTTTACCATCCCTTTTAAATCACCCTATTCTTTTCGTAAAGCAAATACATAATGAGCGAACAAGTTGCATGACAGGAATTCTTCCTTATCTCTGTACAATTAATTGGCTGCGTTGCCTTTTTAAAAAAGAAAAACAACCTCTATTAGTGTTTTATTTGAAATACGTGTATGTGCGCAATCAACAGGGGAAAAAACCCTACAGGAGTTGAATACCGAAAGGGCTCTCTTCTCTGTTCCCCAAGTACCATTATTTTACTAATTTCCTGCTTCGTTTTTTTAACTCGGGGTTTACAAGGAAATTACGATCCAACTTTATTTTGGAGACCATCTGCCTTGAAAACCGTGCTGTCATTGGGGAGGGGGTTTAAAAACAAATCCAAGGAGTTAAATCATCAAGACAGAAAGACACTGAAGGAGACAGAGGGAAGGGAAAGCAGCATACATTTCATAACACCCTGCTCTTCTCCTTTGAAAGCCAGCTACGTTGAGCCGAAAGTCCTTTGGAGAGACAAATGAACAACAACAAAAAGTCACACACCACGCTACCCCCCACCGGCACCACTTTACCTTGGTTGATCAGTTTAAAGCTTTGGGATTTCCTGCTCCTCTTCCTCTCCGTAAACTCCATGGTGTGGGCAGGAGGGAGGAGGAGGAAGAAAGGAAGGAGAAAGGGGATGGCACAGAGCGAGTGGGAGGCTATACAGCCACCCAGCCGCAGGACCAAGGTCCGTCCCTTTAATCAGCAAAAATAAACCGGGGCTGGGAGATTTCAGTTCCAACTGCGGAGCGGGGATTTGGGACAAGTTGGCTCCGGGCTCCCTTCCCCCACCTCCCGGGGCCAACCCCAAGCTTTGCGGGGGGCAGATCGCCAGGTGCCGGGGAAGCCCCGGCTGCGTGCGGGGAGCTCGCCGGCC